CTGTGATTTTTGCAGCTCCCAAACATATTTTGCTCTAGGTGCCTGAAGCCAAATCATAAGATTTTTTTTAAAAAATAGCTTTATTAGAGGTATAATTGACATAAAAATGCACATATTTAAAGTGTATAATTTGATGTTTTGGCATATATATATATATATGTATATATATATATATATCCATGAAACCATCACTACAAGATAACAACATCTCCATCACTCCAAAAGTTTCTCCATGTGCCTTTGCAATCCCCTCTCCTGACTCTCCCTGCAGCTGCCATTCCCAGGCGACCACCAATCTGCTTTCTGTCACAACAGATTGCATTATCAACACTTTTATACAATTGCAGTTGTATATCATGTACTCACTTTCTTTGTCTGATTTCTTTCACTCAATATAATTATTTTGAGATTCATCCATGTTGTAGTTTGTACTAATAGTTTATTCCTTTTTATTGCTGAGTGGCATTTTGTTGCATGGGTATACCACAGTGTTGTGGGGTTTTTTTCACTCACCTGTTGATGAACAGTTGGGCTGTTTCCTGTATTTGATTATTACAAATAAATCTATGAATATTTGTATAAATTCTTCAAATGGACATATGCTTTCATTTCTCTTGGATAAATGCTTACGAGTAGAATGGCTGAATTTTTTGGTAGATGGATGTCTGGCATTTAAAAAACTGTTGAACTGTTTTCCAAAGTTGATGTACCATTTTACATTCTCACCAACAGTGTATGAGAGTTCCACTTCCTCCACCTTCTTAACAACACTTGGTAGGGATGTCAGGCTTTTTAATTTTAGCCACTGCTCTAGATGTGTAGTGATATCTAATTGGAGTTTTAATTTGCATTTCCCTAGTGACAAATTATGTTGAGCATATTTTCATGTGCTTATATGCTATTCACATATCTTCATTGGTGAAGTATCTATTCAGATTTTTTTGCCCGTTATTTTAATTGAGATACTTATTTTCTTTTTTATTGAGTTTGGAGAGTTCTTTCTATATTCTGGATAGAAGTTCTTTATCAGATATGTAATTTGCCAATGTTTTTTCTCAGACTGTGGCTTGTCTTTTAATTCTCTTAACAGAATTGCCTTTCACCAAACAGAATTTTTTCATATTGATGGATCAATTTATACTTTCATGTTTCTTGTTTTTGGTGTCATATCTAAATATCTTGGCCTAATCCAAGACCATAAAGATTTTCTCCTGGAGCCAGCCTGGTGGCACAGTGGTTAAGTTCGCACCTTCCACTTAGGTGGCCCGAGGTTCGCTGGTTTGGATCCCAGATGCGGACCTACACATCGCTTGTCAAGCCATGCTGTGGCGGCAGATGTTAGCTCAGGGCTAATCTTCCTTAAAAAAAAAAAAAAGTTTCTCCTATATTTTCTTCTAAAAGCTTTATAATTTTTGGTTTTACATTTATGTCTGTGGTCCATTTTAAGTTAATTTTTGTATATGGTGTGAGGTATGGACTGAAGTTCATTTGTTGTGTGTTTGGATATACAGTTGTTCCAGCATCCTGTGTTGAAAAGTCTATTGTTTCTCCACTGAATTTCCTTTGCACCTTTGTCAAAAAGTCAGTTGTCCATATATGTGTGGGTCTATTTATGTACTTTCTGTTTTGTTCCATTGATCTATTTATCAGTATTAACATCAATACCACACTGTCTTGATTACTGTAGTTTTACATTAAGTCTTGGAAACAGTGTTATTGCTCCAGCTTTGTTCTTTTTCAAAACTGTTTTGGGTATTCTAGGTTCTTTGCATTTCTATATGAATTTAGAATCAGTTATTTAATTTCTACAAAAAACATCTAGCTAGGATTTTGATTGAGATTGTGTTGGTCAATTTCAAGATAATTAACAACTTAATTTTGAGTATTTCAACCTATGAGTTTGGTATATTTCTCCATTTGTTTAAATCTTCTTTAATTTCTCTTAGCAATGTTTTGTAGTTTGCAATGTATAGGTTTTTTACTTTTTTGTCAGATTTATCCTTAAATATTTCTTATTTTTGATGCTATTGAAAATTAAAATATTTTTAATTTCAATATCTAATTGTTCATATTATATAGAAATGCAATTGATTTTTGTATATTGATCTTGTATCCTGCAACCTCTCTAAACTCAGTTATTATTTCTAGCATTTTTCTGTTTGTAGATGCCATTAGATTTTCTACAAAGGTGATATGTTATTTGTGAGAAAAGACAGTTTTACTTCTTTCTTTCTAATATGGATGCATTTTATTTCTTTTTTTGCCTTATTGTAAGAGCTACAATAAGTCTATTGATTAGAACTCCCAATACACTGTTAAATAGAAGTAGTGAGATTGAAATACTTATTTTGTTCTTGATCTTAAGGGAGAGCATTCAGTGTTTTGCCACTGATTATGATGTTACTTGTTGGATTTTTTGTAGATACCCTTTATCACATTGAAGAAGGTCCCTTTTGATCCTCCTTTGTATTCCTGGAATAAATCTAACTTGGTCCTAATGTATTATCCTTTTTATATATTATTGGATTTGATTTGCTAACATTTTGTTTATAATTTTTGAATCTCTGTTCATGATGGATTTTAATCTTAATTCTCTTTGTCTGATTCTGGTATCAGAGTGATCCTGGTCTCATAGAATGAGTTGAGAAATATTCTTTCCTCTTCAATTTTCTGGAAGAGTTTGGTAGAATTGATATGACTTCCTCCTTAAACATTTGCTAGAATTCGTTAGTGAAACCACCTGGGCCTAAAATGTTCTTGGCTAGGGAGGCTTTTAACTACAATTTTAATTTCAATTCTTGTAATAGATATAGGGCTATTTAGATTATCTTTCTTCGTGAGTGAGCTTTAGTAGTTTGTATCTTTTAAAGCATTTGTGTATTTCATGTAAGTTGTCAAGTTTATTGGCATAATGTAAATAATATTTCCTTTTATTCTTTTAATATCTATAAAATCTGTAATTATATCAGCTCTCTCATTCCTGATATTAGCAATTTGTGTCTTTTCTTTTTCCTCGTCAGTCTGGCAAAAGGTTTATCAATATTATGGAGCTTCTCAAAGAAATTGCTTTTGGTTTCATTGATTTTCTGTATATTTCTGTTTTCTATTTCATTGGTTTCCACTACAATCTTTATCATTTCCTTTCTTCTACTTACTTTGGGTCTCATTTATTCTTCTACTAATTTCTTAAGGTGGAAGCTGACTTGAGACTTTTCTTCTTTTCTAATATAGGCGTTTAGTGCTATGTTTCCCCCTAAGCACTGCTGTAGCAAAATCCCGCAGATTTTGATATGTTTTAATTTTCATTCAGTGGAACACTCTTTCTAATTTCCATTTTTACTTCTTCTTGGGTTATTTAGAAGTGGGTTAGTTTCCAGTTATTTGGGAATTTTTCCAAATATCTTTCTGTAATTGATTTCTAATTAAGTCCATTATTATCAGAGTAATCATTTGTATTACTTGAATCTTTTAACAAAGTAATTCTTTATACTACTTGAATCTTTTTAAAATTTATGAGACTCGTTCCATGGCTGGATTATGTTCTATGTTGGTAAAATGTCCCATGTGCACTTGAAAAAAAATGTATTCTGCTGTTGTTGAGTGGAGCTAAGAGTCAGCGAATTCTAGTTGTTGATAGTGTTGTTCAATTCTTCTGCCTTCCTTGATCTCCCAAGACTCTCAGCTTTGTCTCCTCAACTCGAGGAAACTGTGAGACTCTGGAGTTCTCCCTGTGTGCGCCGTTGCCTGGAAACTCCCTCAAGGCAATAATCTGGGGGCAATTGTAGGGCTCACCGGTGTGTCACCCATCTCTCAGGGATCACTGTCCTTCCTTTCCTGCTGTCCAATATCTTGAAAAGCATTGATTCATATATTTTGTTTATGTTGGATTTTGAAAGCCAGAAATTGTAACTTTGGGGACTTGTAACTCTGCAGCACTTTCCAGTCCTATAAACCATTATTTTGTATATAGCAGATGCAAACATATGGAATTTCTCTTTTAAACAAGTTTTTATAATGTTCAAATGGATCCATTCTATAAAATAAAGTTGAGCAGTTGTACTTGAAATTAATTGTAGTATGAAATTAATTACTTATTTGGACTTTGGTTAGAACTCTGAGACAATTTTATGCTTGTTTTTATATAGCATTCGCAAGCTTTGGCAGATAAAGTTTGCATATGAAGGATTAAATTATACCTTTCCTCCTTCTTAAATACTTTATATTTACACACCCGAACTAATTAAAAATTGGGAAACCTGATTGGGAAAATAATCTGCTGGAAATTACAGGTGGAAATGGCATGAGAAATTGCGAATGCTACACACGCATGCCTCTAGCAGATCTCTCACTGGACAGCCACTTCCAGTCAGGCAGAGTGGATTTCATCTGGAGCTCAGCATTGGCTATCCTCATTTTTAAAAGGTCCCAGTCACGAAGATAGTGATTTTCCAGCCAAGCTACTAATTCAGTTATTTATTTTGTCTCTTTGTTTGAAATGCATTTTATTTCCTTAGTATTTTCAGTCCTAGGAGCTCAGTGTACTTAGCAATTGTAATTAATCAAACACTTATTGAGCTAATATTATGAAATCATCCAAGGGTTGATCCAAGCTTTGTGGGGGCCTCAAGCTTACACAATTTGGGGAATCTTTAAGAAAAAGAATACAAATCTTCAAATACAAGGGCCGGCTCAGTGGCATAGTGGTTAAGTTCACATGCTCCACTTTGGAGGCCTGGGGTTCACGGGTTCAGATCTCGGGCACAGACCTACACACCACTCATCAAGCCATGCTATGGCAGCATCCTCCATACAAAGTAGAGGAAGACTACCACAGATGTTAGCTCAGGGACAATCTTCCTCAAGCAAAAAGAGGAAGATTGGCAACAGTTGTTAGTTCAGGGCCAATCTTCCTCACCAGAAAAAAAAATTCAAATACAAAATTAGATATGAACATAACTTTATTTAGAATGAAAAAGACATCACAACAAAGTATAAAATTTTAAAAGCTGACAAATGACACAAATATTAGAGAACCCAGAAAAGTAACAATATTTCATTATTAACTGTGTGACACCCCTCTAGGACACTTTTTTCCTACATTTTCCCACATACTCTTTGTTCATTTTGTCATATGCCATTAATTTTTTAAGTTATTTTCTAAAGAGAGAGGGTATAGAAAAATTGGTCTTTCCTCTAGCATGATTGATTGACATTTATTTCTTACTACTGATGGTTTAGAAAAGCTCCTCTCAGGCTCACTTCTTGCTGGTAATGCATGCGGTGATTTCCTCAGCAGCACTGCTCCCCAGGCTGAGTCATGGGAGAATGCCAGCCCTTCCAGCCTGGGTGGCCCTGCTGTAGCTGGTCCAGCTCTGCCCAGTCTTTGCACCTCCAGTTCCCAGCCCCACCTCACCCTCAGCCGTGAGTGAAGCCTGAGTCATGAGCCTTGAGCCTGAGCCTTGAAGCCTGGCTTATGGTTGGCCCTGAGCAGGAATCTGAGCAGTACCTTGTTCATATGCTTCTCCTTGGAGTCAAAGTCAGGGGCTGAAGCTCCATGCAGGCCCCAGAAGCAAGCCGTCACTGGGACTAGCTGATATGGAGGTTGGAAGCTGCCCACTGACAATCCCCACCACCAAATCCACCATAGTGTGTGTAGGGGAACCCTCAGACTGAGTTGCTTTCCAAGGCTTCTTCCTGGAGCAGGCGGGGGCTGCTCTTAGTGGGGAAGGGAAGGGACAAAGAGCAGGAGGGAGGGGTAGACACAAACACATACACGTGAGGTTCCCTGAATAAGAACAGATTAATACCACTATCTCACCACCTTCTTCCAACCACCTATAGCATAAAGCCCAAAGTCTTCAGCAGGGCTTTCAAGAAACGCCATGCTCCCATTCAGTCTGTCTTTCTAGCAGAGCTCCCACCATCCCCCCACCACACACGCACGCACGCACGCTGTCTGCGTTCCGGACAGACGGGATTGATTGTTGCTCAGAGCCTGCCTGGTGCTCTTCTGCCCTCTGGTTTGGGTTTTTTCATCCTGTTGGGCCACCTTCCTTCCCCCATGCCCACTTTCTGGAAATCTCCCTCCCTACTCTAGGCCTGGCTCAAGTGACGGAAGTTCTGCCACCAAACTTTCCTGATCCACATGAGCAAATGTGCTCTCTCCCTCCTCAGAATTGCAGGGCACTTTTTATGTCCTCTTTTAGCCTAACCAACTGTCAGATTTTCAGCAAGGTGAGGGTAAGAACCATCTATTATTCCCCTTGTATCTCTGGGCTAGCCACAGGTACTCAATTAACACGTGTTTAAGTAAAACAACTTAAGACAGAGAAAAGCACTTCACATGTTCCTAAGGTTCCCAAAAGAAAACTGAGAGGCATTTCTACCCTCAGATGTGACGTCACAGGGAGAGAACAGAGAGAAGAGGGGGCAGGGCAGTGTAGGAAGTAGAGACGCCCAACAGATCAGGGACCAGACAAGAGACAGGAAATCTGAGGCAATGCCAAGACCAGCCCTAGACTTCAAATTCATGACACTCTCTTACTCCCCTAAAAACAATACAGACGTGTGTGTATGCTGTTTTAATTTTTACTCCCACAGCCTTTCCTGAATGGAATACAGACCACATATTATGGCATTTCTAGTAAGTGCGGCATTTCTATGACCCAGATGCTTTTTTTCCTTTTTGAGATTTTAATTTTTATTCCACTTCTAGGCTTCAGTTTCCAGTCTATTGTTTTAGCAATAAAGTAACTCCTGCAATACCCCAGTGTGAAAATTAAAATGATTTAGAGCAGTCACGGAGGACCATTCCTGACAACCTGGCAAGAGTGAGTGTTGCTCTGGGGCTACTTAGCCCCTGTGCTCATTGCTGACATATTGGAAAATAAAAAGATGACAGATGATTTTTATTGCTTTCGAGAACAGTCCAACAATGTATATATATAATGATAGCACATATATTATGTTTATAACATTTTTAAAGTTTTCTTTTCAATGCAAAAAACCCCTGCTTTATACTCATATTAAACTTTTAATTTTTCAAAGTGTTATCACATCATATTTCAGTGAACGCTTTGGACTTGCTGAGACAGCAGAAAGTGATGCCAATCACATCTGACCTTTGAGGAAACTGAAACAAAGGTGAGATTTGCTGAAGGTCACATACCTACTGAATGAGAGAGTGAGGACTAGACACAGGTGTCCTGACTCCCAGCCCGAGCCTGTGCGGCAAGGAAAGAAGTCATATTTGGAGCCATCCAATCAGTCTTAAACCATTTTGGATTTAATGTCCTCAGGAACTAACTCTGTTTCCTTTTACTTCTAAAAACAAAGATAGAGTTCTCGAAATTTGTATAGTTGTTAACCTAGCCAACGACATACGAGCATCTCCCGTGGTGGGAAAATGGTTCACTGGAAGGGAAAACAGTAATTTAAGATGAGCTTGGATGGAAGTTAGTGTCCATATAAGATAAATTCCTGGGAATGGCCTGGAAAGGTGCCTTCTTCGACTTGGGAAACAATTTACTTAGATCTGCTTGTGGTAGTTTCTCCACAAGATGTTGCTCATAGTCATACTTTGTTTTTCTTTTAATTTGGATGTAAATATGGGAATTTTCACTGGTCCATAACTATAATTTACCTTTCATAACATCCTTAGCTGAGATTATGACCTATCTCACACTTGCAAATCCCCCACCCCAATCTGGACCATTTCATTTGGCTCCCTGAGTTGGCCGGAGAAATTGGGGACTGAGAGGAAAGTTTATCTGGGTTTTCCCAAACTTAGCTCTGTATTATTAACACCTGGCTTCTTTACAAAGCGGACAGCTTGCTGGGGCTGCAGAAGCTGCACATTTTCTCCTGACCTCCCACCCCGGTCTCAGGGTGGACACACGGTCAGCGTAAGGGCCCTCCTCAGGACGCACAGGGCCCGTGAGAAATGCTCCTCTGAACACAGTTAGCTAGACCCCGAGTTAAGTTTCTTCGTCAAGAGAGGAGCCAGCGAACTGAGTTAGGTCTCAAAAGAATCATCCAGTGGAGCAGATTGTGCACCCAGCTGCCCGCCTAGGATGGGGCCTCAATCCTTTGACAGCATTTTAGCAGATGTGGGGATAAGCACTGTTCCATCCCCCTCCAGGCGTTCTCTGAGAAGTGAGTGCTGTCTCTCACTGGTTTACGTGCCCCTAAAATCCATTCATTAGAAGGGATGCCTCTTTCTTTCCCTTTTACATCGGCTCTATTAAGGTATAAATTACATACAACGAAGTGTACCCATTTTAAGTGTACAATTTGATGAGCTTGGACAAATATATACAACAGTGTAACCTCTACCACTATGAAGATACGAAATATGTGCATCATTCCAGAAAGTTTCCTTAAGTCCCTTTCCATTCAGTATCCCACCTGCAACCACAGATCTGCTTTTTGTCACTATAAGTTAACTGTTTTTTAGAATACCTTATACATGGACTCATTCTTTCCCTGAGCATGTTTCTGAGATTCATCTATGTTATTGGATATATCAATAATTCATTCTATTCTGTTGCTGTATATATAATATTGCACAGCTTGAATATGCCATAAATTGTTTACCAATTCACCTGTTTTCGGTTGTTTACAGTTTGGGGTTGTTAAGAATGAAGCTAATATGAACACTCACATGCAAGTCCTCTGAGGACACGTTTTTATTTGGAGAGGGGAGGCAAAAACCTAGAAGTGGAATTTTCTCACTTGGTAAATGTATGTTATCTTTACAAGTAACTGCTACACTGCTTTTCAGATGATTGTACCATTTTGCATCCCCATCAGAAATGCGTGAGAGTTCCATTGTTCCACATCCTTACCAACACTTGGCATGGTCAGCCTGTCTTTAATTTTAGCCATTCTAACGGATGCGTGTGGTATCTCATTGTGGTTTTAATTTGCATTTTCCTGAGTAATGATTTGAGCATGTTTTCATGTGCTCACTGGGTTTCTCCTTCCTTGACTCAATTGCTCTGACAAGCTTAATGACACTAAATTCAATAATTCTATAGCCAAATGCATCCTTGTCAGTTGCTGGTAGGTTGTTACATGTTCTTTCTTGGCTTAACACTGACAGTACATAAAACAGCTGACAGAAGCTCTGATTTCCTTCCCATCTCAGGGTGAGCTCACTGAAACAGACCTTCAGAAATCCCCTGCAACGAAAGCTGAACAGGTAGAGTGAGCCTACGACATTGGAACATCCCTGGGAGAAGGGAGATAAAAATCTCATGTCCTTCTTCCTTCCTTGCTCTTCTCTACTTATAGGAACCCCTATTGATACAAAACCAACAACCAGTCATGAGTTCTCTGATCTCTCACAACACAGTCTTTCCTTCTTAGTTTGTTATTCAATTCTATATTTCTCTGAATTGTTATCTACTCCATAAGCACATGTATTCATTCCCTAAATAGATTTAAAGATACCATGTCTTATTTTGCTTCTGCATTCCCATGGTGCTCAATAAATACTTTCAAAGTTGAATTAAATTTCAATTTTCAATATATATAATATATATAGCAGAGAGAGAGATTGAGAGTGAGGCTGAGATTGAATTTACTCTAGATTTCAGAGTAGTCATTTCATGTGATCTCAAACTTTTCATCTCCAAAACTTTACGAGATTCCTCCCCCCGGACTCCGTAATCTTGTTGACAATGTAAAACAAACCACAGTTAGCCTGGGAATTATCTTTATGGAATAAATCAACATATTGTTTTGAGTTCTTCACTGCATGTATTAATTTAAAAAGAACACATGTCTTGGTTCAGTAAAACTTTGCAGAAAGCCAGACATCTCATAAAAAGAATTTGTTAGTTGAGATGTTTATCCCTCCAGCTATCTTTTTCCTTTTTACGACTACAAAGAATATTGGTGTTTCTTTACTTTTCAGAATCATCTACTCAGGAAGACTTCTGGCAATAGTTCCAACAGGAAGTACACTATGCTGAAGAAATGGGTCTTTATGAGGTCTGATTCCTTCCTATCCTTTCACTGGTCTGCCCAGAGGTGTGTCAGCTCCCACCCTGCCTCTGCCAGAAGAGCATCTTTTAGTCAGGACGTTCCACTTATGCAAGGTGTGATCCAGAGAGGCCAGGCTGAGGCCACACCGGGTTACCCTCTACCCCTGCCTCTGTCATATTGCGGTGCCTACATGATGAGGTGTTGGGGGTTGGGGAAGCCCAGCGTACTGCTGCTTCACTGGAACTGTCCGGTGTAGAGGAAGACATTCAGAGGACCACAGAAATCAGACTTTTTCAGAGGAGAACTAAAGCCTTCCGATGACTGATCCTCAGTTAACCAATCTTCCACCAACTGATGAGACAACCAATATCCATAAAGATGTCCTAAAGCATTCAAGACTCTGAAGTGCCCTCGGCATCAAAAAAGAAAGATTAAATCGTATGTAGTAAATGTTAATAGTTTAATATAAGTACTTTTATTATAATCTTCTACACCCATTGGTCTCCAAACGTTTTTGATTGCAAGCTTGAATCAGTTTTTAAAAACTGGCATCCCCCAATATATTTACACTTATTTCTTTATAAATTATACATATCAATACACTCCTAAAATGTTCACGATGAAGCACACATACACATAGAACATTTTAAAGGGTAAGATTACCTCCTTTCTTGATTAAAAAAGAAATTTTTAACAAAGTGGAAATACAGTCTTCGCCTTTATCCGTGATTTCGCTTTCCACAAGTGTCAGTTACCTGCAGTTGACTGCGGTCTGAAAATCTTAAATTGAAAATTCCAGAAATAAACAATTCATAGGTTTTAAATTGCATGCTGTTCCGAGTAGCGTGATGGAATCTCGCCATCCTGCTCCGTCCTGCCCTGGACGTGAATCTTTCCTTTGTCCAGTGCATCTGCCCTTACTCACTTAGTAGCTGTCTTGGTTATCAGCTCTACCATCATGGTATTGCAGTGCTTGTGTTCAAGTCATGCTTATTTTACTCAGTGGCCCCAAAGTGCAAGAGGAGTGATGCTGGCAATTTGGATATGCCATAGAGAAGCCACGACGTGCTTCCTTTAAGTGAAAAGGTGAAAGTTCTCGACTTAATAGGAAAGGAAAAAAATCGTACACTGAGATCACTAAGATCTACAGTTAAGAACGAATCTTCTATCCTTGAAGTTGTGAAGAAGGAAAAAGAAATTCGTGCTAGTTTTGCTATCGCACTGCAAATATGTATGTATAGAAAAAACATAGTATCTTTAGGGTTCAGTCCTATTGGCAGTTTTAGGCATGCACTGGGGGTCTTGGAACATACTCCGCATGGATAAGGGGGGACTACTGTAAAGGGATACTTTCTTAATGTGATAAAAGACATTTATCTGAGCCCTTCATGCTTATTAGCACAGAATTTAGAAGTATTTGTACTAAAGTCGGGGCAAGACATGGATAACACTATCACTACTGTTGTTTAATATTGTTCTGGAAGTACCAGCTCTAGTTACAAAAGGCAAGTAAATTACAGCATAACATTTGAAAGTAATATTTAATCAAGTATAACCAATCTCATTATTTATGTAGGTGAATAAACTTATATGCGTAAAAACCTGAGAGAATTAACTGCAAAACTATTTTCAACAGCAAGAGAATTTACTGAGGTAATGCAGTAAAAAATTAATGCACAAAAATCAATAGCTATCACATATACAAATAACAGCCAGTTAGAAGATGTAATAGAAGGTAATGCTCCATCTCCCATAAAACAAACTCAAATATCAGGGGTAAACCTAGATATTTATCACGCCTGATAGATAAACAGAAATCTAAGGGCCCCTAGGGCTTGAACAACTGGAAAGACATACTGTATCTTGGCTAAGAAGACAACATCCTAAAGTTATCAAAGATTCCTCAGTCTACAAATTTAGTGTAATTTCAATTAAAATACCAACAAGATTCTTTCTGTGTTCTAAGATTCAAACAGAAAAACAGACAGCGAGTAAAAAAGTTGAGTAAGGAGGGGTGACCATACCTACAAGATATGAGAAAATGTATTACAAAGTTATCATAATGACAGCAGTATTGTGAATGAATAGATGAACAGATCAGTGAAACCAAATAGGAAGGCATACATACATCCAAATACGCATGTGAATTTAATATATGAGAAAGGTGGCATGTGAAACGGATCATTCAGTGAACGAGGCCCTGGAAGAAAATGGGCGGAAAGATGGGATAAACTGTAAAGTTAGGCAACTGGTTTAGATCTTGTTTAACCAGCAGGAAGCAGCAGCATCTTGAGGTGCGTCCTCCTATAGCACCATGATGTTCACAGATCCCCTTAAGGGCACTGACTCTGTAACATCAATCGTTACATTCTAGGCATGCACACCTGTGTCTGGAGCTACACACAGTAGCTGCTCAGTAAAGGTCCACACCCTCTTCAGCTCTGAATACCACCGCAGGGAAGGGTATGCCAACCAGGAAGGGAATCAAGGCTCAGAATTAAAGAACACAAATAGAAACAGAAAAAGGGAAGGCAAGAATCATCTAGCTTGGCACACACCCAGGAGACCTTGTTGATGGGCCTAAGAGAAGATAAAGGAAGAGGTGCCTACAATAGAGAATCACGGAGATCTCACCACAGAGAGATCTGATGTGTCACCTGGGAACAACCACAGCTGCAAGACAGCCACCCCAGGAGCCCAGAGGCATGGCTCTGTGTGATCTTGAGCAAGCCAAGTACTTGTTGGGGATACTTCTTCCTGCTGAGCCCAGCTCATAGGGTTCACACAAGAGGGACATGAAATGACGAATGAGAGAACGCTTTGCAAACTACGATCGGAGGTAACTGTTCGCTTTGGGTTGAGCCTTGCTTGTAACATGCACTCGCCTCACTTTTATTTCCAAAGGAGCTGTGGACTCGGTAGACCCAGATAGAATCCAGATACCCTCCCCCAAAGGAAGTTATCATTGGGAGCGATGGTATAGTCAGCATCTTCTTGCTGCCATCCAAATGCACGTCCCTGGAAGGAGCATTTGCCCTGTGAGCCTGCTGCTTCATTTGCCTTCATCTTGGCAGGCAGTGAGGCATCTTTCGGAACTTGATGAAAGACACGGAGCTCAAGCCAGAACACAGCAGCAGTGAGGGCTTTCCTAGATGCGGAGCTCACATCAAAGCTGTCTTCTTCTGTGCTGACACGTGTAACTCTTTAGCCGGCCTGATAACACCCACAGAGACAGCCTCTCAGGTTCCTGTGGGGAGAAAACAGAGCCAGAGATACGCTGTACTGAGCTGGCAGATACCGTATTCTTTCTGTAAAAGTCTGCTGGGAAAGCAACTAGGCCAAAAATCCATTATGCCGGATATACTGCAAGGATGACCAAGGCTGCCTCAGGGGTCCTGGTGGCTTTAGTATCTATTTCCAGAGAAAGAGTAGGAAGGGATCAAGAGCAAAGAACATGGGAAAATATGCTGCCCTATCACTGGAGTTCATGTATTTCCCAGAAATTCAAGATTCCAGGAAAAGGTGGCATGACATAAAAGGAAAAAAGCGTACTGGATTCAGAATTGGATTCAAATCCAGACCTGGTATTTGCTACGTGTCCAAACTTGGGCAAGTGACTTAAGCATTCTGAGCCTGAGTTTCCTCATCTGTAAAAGGGTGATAAAAATTCCTACTATGCAGGATGTTAGGAAGATTAAATAACTGTACATAAAATAGTTGGCACATAGAAATGTAGGGTATTTCTCATCATTCCTCCTAGAGAGACAGAGACCCTTCTGACTAATCATATCTTCCCTAGATATTCCCACATTGATGTGGGGTCAGTGAGCTGAGGAGTCGAAAGAAAGATTTCTTAGACTCTTAAGATCTGGCAGTAGTGCTCTTTTATTTAGAGGATAGTATAGAGTAGCATGGGGACAGGACCCATGGGCAGTCAGAGCTTCTGCTGCCCCAAGTTGAGGGTTAGAGCTAAATTTAAGGCATAGGTATGTGAGTTATCTCTTTACAAGACAAAGGAAAGAATATGTAAAAAAGTTAAAATGGTATCAGTGCCCGTAGGGTCTGGCCATTGGGCGGTCCCACAACTTTTAGATAAGAATCAAACCGGATTGAGTAAATGGCAGAAGTCACAGCTTAAATATTATCCTCAACTAAAGACAAAGGAGGATTTGGGGGGGGGGGGTCAGTTACATGAGGTTGCCAGACAGTAAACAACTTAAGTCCTTGCCTCTGGCATTGATTAAGAGTCTCTAGAGATAAGGCCATCCCCCTTCTTCCTGGCACAAAGAGGGAGGCATCTTTACAGATAGAGGTTTCCTTAGAAATGTAAATGTTTCCCAACAAAGGGGCAAGCAAATTCCACTCCTCGGAGCCTGCTTCTCCTCTGCAGTTTTAAAATTAACCAGCCTAAAAATCCTCATCACACATTGCTTTTTATGCCCCTTTCCCTGTAATGCCATTAAAATTGCCTACACATAAGAATTTGGTGCTTGTTGACTATTTTCCTAGATTCTGGTTGTTTAATAAATATTTACAGAAACAAGCCCAGCCGTGAGCTCACTACTCAGAAGCCTGGAAGTGCATGGTGGCATCACAGGACCTTTGTGCCAGTCCTGGGAGAGAAGCTGTGCCTTTCATTCCGTCACACATTGTATTACTCCCAACACTGTCTTGCACACACACTAGATGGTGAATCGGGGCTGGGTTTTTTGACCTAACTGGGTCTCAAAACAGAGTTCAGAACCCTGGTGAGACTTTCCTTAATTCACATTTTTTGTCTGATGGTGTTTTCATTTTCCCATCGGCTACTGAGAGCTTGAAAGAAACTCAAGGAAGGAAACTCACAAACCTCTGGTAGAAGATACTGTGTGAAATGCTTTGCACATTTAGGATTTTTCAATCCTCCCCACAAGGTCATCATGCCCATTCTACAGGTGATGAAACACAAGCTCCCTGAAGTTACATAGCTCTCACGGTGTGACACGGCTGGTGACTGGCTGAGCTGAGAGTCACATCCAGCACTTTCAGAATGAGATGGTCAGAGAATGAGAATTTTAAGGAAAGATAAAACTGCAATACTTTCAGGCATTTTGTAAGCCTGTAGAAGCGTCTGGAGCCTGGTAGTTGTTGACTTTACTTGCAAGCCTGACGTCCAAGACTCTGCTAACCCCCTTCCCTATTCTCTTCTCTGTTCTCCCTCATCCCTTTCTTTTCTTTCTTCCATTTCTTCTCCCATTTGGACCATAGAAAGGCACTTACTCCATTTTAGCCAACAGAAATCTCCCAAGCCCAGGGGAAGGACGTTGGGGACTTTCCACTGGAGGGCCTCCGCCTTAGTCGCGGGAGCCCTTCGCGGAGGCCCGCCCGCGTCCCGGAGCGCGAGGAGCATCTGGGCGAGGCAGGCAGGGCGGCTGACTGCGAGTCTTTCTTTGCACAAGACACTTTGCCTTTCCTTCCCTTGGGATGTTTTCGGTTTTTCCCAACAATCACATAAGCTAAGTTCTGTGTTACTGTTTCAGTTATCTCAGTACATGGGGGAAAGAGCCAAGGAGGAAACTGATACCCCGTGTTGTGTAAGCTGTTTTCTGGGAAATTCACAACTGTCTCCTGCGTGGTTCGGGGCTGGTTACCGCTGTCTGCATCCCGCGCCGCCGGGCCGTCTGCGCCTTTAGAGAAAGAGCCTCAGCATTTAGAGGCATGGTCTGTGTCCTCCTTTCATCTTCCTGAGCTGTAGCACAGCCAAAGAGAAACCACACTTCTTCAATCTTTGTATCCACAGAATCTAGAATAAAACCTGCCACACACCAGGAGCCTAGTAAAAATCTTTTGGAATCAGAAGGGAAGGTGGGTTGATTACACTGGGTGCTTCTCACAAGCCCACAGGGTTAGGACCAACAGGTATACCGTGGACAAGAAGAGGCAGAGACACCCTGGTCTCGCCAGACCTGACTCTGGGGTCCATACCTGAGGACCACAAGGTCATTTCTTGGCATCTTCCATGCCAGCCCTGCCCTGAGAGAGTCAACCCCTCTCAGCACCAAGGGAGCCAGACCCGTGCTTCCCGTTGAGGTATGGCCCCTGGAAGATAAACAAGGCATGGAGTTCCTTTGATTTGAGTTTTGTAAGTGATAATGAAAATAATTATATTTTTTGAGCAACAGTTAGAAGCCAGATGCTATTCAATGCTTTGTATATATCATTTTAACCCGTATGATCGTCCTGCAAAGGACAATCTTCATTTTAGGATTGTCCTTTAGGTCATTTGAGATTGTTCTCATTTCACAAATGAGAAAACCATTGCCCAGAGAGGCTAAGTAACTTGCCTAAGGTCACACAACTAGTGAGTCGCAGAAACATGATTCTAATTCAGACCTATCTGCTTCCAAAGTCCATAGATTGGCCACAAATGGAAGCTGACACGCAGTCTTTCAAGTTTTTCTTGAGCCATCCCCACCGCAGCACTCCATTTGCTCACTTCTTCCTCGGAAGCTTCGGCTTGCTTCACTAAGTCCCCCCACCTACATCCCCTGCCCTCTGATACATCATTTCTGTGCTGATGAAAACATTCCCTCTCCCCTTCACTCCCATTGTTAACTAGAAGGACCTGCCTCCAGAGGGGAATTAGGTTTGAGGACAGATGAGGGAAGAGCTCTCTGCCTCCCTTGCCAGAAAATCATCCAGTGTCTGAGGCTGAACCTTGGGTTCCCTGAGGGGCCAGGAAGGACAGCAGGGAAGAATACTGGGCTGACCCTGCCCTCCCATGTCCCTAAGGTCTCCAGTGCCACCATCTTTCCCAGGATACCAAGGATCAGCCTTTGCTGTGAGGATCAAATGAAACAAGGGACATGAAGGTGCCCAACACAGTGTCTCACAAAACATGCTGCAATCTCTGCTTGCCTCTTCCTCCCACTTCTTAGCTTCTCCTCCTCTCCGCTGGGCTGTCCTGCCATCCTCCTCAGCAGGGCTACCCTCTCTTCGCTGCAGAATCATATCCCAGGCAGGTGAAAGACCCCTGCTCTCTGGCACCCAGTGGTCAAGCAGCAAGGAGCAGTTTCAAGTTGGGGGAAGGGCGATGTGGGTGGAAGGACACAGAATGCCAGCTCGGAAGCCCAGAGATGAGGAGGCAAGCTGTGAGAAAGGTTGGGCATCTAATTATTTCACCACCTATGAATGACTCTGTGTCTGTGTTTGTGTGTTTAATTCAGATGGGTGTGTGGGCAGGAGAGAGAGAAATAACTATAGTTAATAGTCATCGTTTTTTAAGCACCTGTAATCTGGATCTGGGCTTGAGTCCTGGCCCATTAATAACCATCCGTGTGACCTTGAACAAGGCATTTAAACTCACCAGGCCACTATGATCTTATGCTTTCCTATTGTGAGAGAGGTATTATTATTCTCTTCTTACTAATGAACAGACTGGTGCAAGTCCCACAGCCAGCATAACTGCTGTAATCACATACTATGTCCCAAGTTTCGTGAGCATCTTTTATGTACTATCTTATTTAATTTTCACAAAAATGCAAGAAAATGTTAACAGTTTCATTTTACCGGTTAAAAAGATCCAAGTACTTAGAGATATTAAGTAATTTGTCCAAGATCTCATATCAAATAGCAGAAGATTTAAGGTGGAAAACTGAAGTATAGTACTGGAGGATAAAAACAATAAAATAATAATAGCATCCTTTATTTACATGCCAACCATACTCGGTCCTGCACTAAGCCCTATACATGCATTTTCTCCTATTAGCAACTATGAATAAAACTGCTGTCAACATTCATGTGCAGGTTTTCATGTAGACACAGGTTTTCAACTCATTTGGGTAAATACCTAGGAGTGTGATTGCTGGATCCCATGGTAAGAAACTGCCAAAATGTCTTAGGAAATGGCTGTACCATTTGGCATTCCCACGAGCAATGAATGAGGGTGCCTGTTGCTTGACATCCTCACCTGCATTTGCTATTGTCAATGTTTTGGATTTTAGTCATTCTAATAGATGTGTAGTGGTTTCCCATTGTTGTTCTAATTTGCAATTCCCTAATGACAAGTGATAATGAGCATCTTTTCTTATGCTTGCTTGCTATCTGAATGTCTTCTTTGGTGAGGTGTCTATTTAGATCTTTTCCCCTTCTTATTTAATTGGCTGTTTGCCTTCTTATTGTTGAGTTTTAAGAGTTCTTTGTATAATTTGGATACAAGTCCTTTATCAGATATGTGTTTTGCAAATATTTTCTCTCAGTCTGTGTCTTGTCTCTTCAACTTCTTTACAGTGACTTTTGCAGAGCAGAACTTTTTAATTTCAATAAGGTCCAACTTACCATTTTTTTTCATGGATTATGCTTTTGTTGTTGTATCTAAAAACTTGTCACCAAAACCAAAGTCACCCTGGTTTTCTTCTGTTTTCTTCTGGACGTTTTGTAGTTTTGCATTTTGCATTTGGGTACGTGATGCATTTTAAGTTAATTTTTGTGGAAGCTGTAAGATCTGTATCTAGGTTTCTTTTCTTTCTCTGTTTTTTTACTTTTGCATATGGGCATCCAGTTGTTTCAGCACCATTTATTGAAAAGACTATTCTTTCCCCATTGAATTGCCTTTGCTCTGTTGTCAAATATCAATTGACTGTATTTATGTGGATCTATTTCTGAGCTCCCTCTTGTTTTCCACTGATCTTTGTGCCTATTCTTTCATCAACACCATGCTGTCATATAACTTTATAGTTAGTCCTAAAGTTGGGTGGTGTTAGTCCTCAACTTTGTTGTTCTCAGTATTGTATTGGCTATTCCGGTTCTTTCTCCTTCCCCTATAAACTTTAGAATCAGTTTGTCAATATCTAAAAATAGTTTGATTTTTATTGGAACCACAGTAAATCTACGAATTAAGTTAGGAAGAAT